CTTAACCCATATGGGTTAGAACAACCCTATTTTAGTAGATGTTCGATGTATTCGATTCTGTTATTTACCAGTCGGAGCTCTTGAGGCCCCCTGTACTTTGCATTATCTAATCTCTTTATCGATGGCTTACTTACGAGAATTTACGCTAAGGCATTTATCTGACTTTTTAAGCCATAGAAGCAATCAAAATCAGATGGACTTTAATTTGAAAATTACGCGAGCTAAAACCATTCTTCGATTTTGTTCTTTTTCAATCCAGGCCGTGATTAAAATTATACGATAAGGTCGTGCATTGTTGTGAGAGCAGCCGCGCTAAGCTGTTGAACACTGTGCCTGCAGCCGTGAGGCCCGTCAGGGGTTCGAGATATCGGGCCCGTCGTAGTGTCTGCCCTGAAACTTCTTGGGCAATATCTGGTAATAACAGATACTTCTGGTACCGATTACGCCGGAATTTATTCAGTACCGCCATCGAAGTCGCTTTCTGCCCCTCTTACAAGTAGTCTCTCGTCTGATACTTGTTTGATGGACCACATACATCGACCTCACTCTCGTATACGGCAGCAGGCGTATTTCTGATAGTCTTTTTGCTTGCACCAATTACACAAATCGTACATATTTCTACCCTTTTGGGACTGGTTGTTCATGTTTATAACTTTCATTGTAACTTCAAAACACATCGTTTCTAAAATCCTCTACTGAATTGATACCCCATATCCTTATCCAAAAGTTAAGGGACTGATGTGTAGCCACCTCTTTTGTGCAGTCCAACTTCTAATTTCCGGTCGTAACAAACTGTCGGCCGAACGCTTCCTTGCCCGGTGTTTTTAGTCAATCTTTGATGGCGCGTTTGTTTTCGATGTATCGATCCTTAATTACAAAATGTTGATTTTCAGTATTAAAGGATATCTTCGCATATTATCGAAAATGTTCTTAAATAGACACTAAATTTCTTCCACTGATTATACGTAGTGTAAAAATAATTCGAATTTAGGAATCCCTAAATAGCTTCGGACAACCTGATATTATATTTAAAATTAGCCCTCGCCGTGTGGGGTGGGAACGCTTCATAGTTTAATTGCTCGGTCAGTTTTCAGACCTTGGAAATATGGATCTATTGATTTTTTCTCATATTATTTTATCTAAAACAATGTTTTTTTTATATATAATACAATGAATGAAAGGATCAAATTCGATCTATTGATTATATAAACGTCTGTGCGTAATCTCTCATCAAAGAGAAATGCATGCTTGGGGTGATCGCCGTGTCCTAGAATTAGCTTTACGACCAAGTCAGTTGGGTGCATGATTCGAAAAACTAAGGCCCTATTGATCAACGCATTGCCTTATGGGTATGTTTGCTTTGACAAGCAAAAGAGTGTGCTAGCAATCAGCTAATGCTTCGGCTTGTGACGAATGTGTAGCTAAGTGTAATGTAGGTCATCGGTGACTGATGAGGTTGAATTCAATGTGTTGTCTTCAAAGACTATCCTTTACTCCTCGAAAGTTCAGCTGAAAATACGTTTTATTTACCATATTTCCAAATCGGTCCAGCAGGTGTTTACGTATTGTGAAATTCTGGAGTATCTTTTGTTTAGTAAAGATATGTTTTGGGCACCATAGTCTAAAATAGATGTTTTTACTGACTTTCGGCCCGCTCGTTGATCAGTATGTATAAACTTCAACTTCGATTACATTCGGCCTTTTCCAAGAAGAAAGAAACATGCCTTAGCGCCATGCATTAAACTAAAACCAAAAAAAAAAACAGAGCAGTCTAATGTTTGACGCTTCGTAAAAAAATCTCGAGGACAGACCATGAAATCAAGAGAATCGCCTATAACAAAAAAAACAATTTAGACAAATTGTTTGAAGTCCTTAAGTTACGAAGTACACATTGCTGTGAAGATATCTCTTAATTTAATTATATTCGTTCTTAGGTTCGCTGTCAAGGTATAGAGGAACACGACCTAGATAGAGACTGCTAGATTTTCCCTAGAGGGAGAAAGAGAGAGAGAGAGAGAGAGAGAGAGAGAGAGAGAGAGAGAGAGAGAGAGAGAGAGAGCGAATATGCTTCACCACAAGTAAAAGCCGTCGAAGATGGAATTTGTTACGTTAAGTATTATGTAAATACCTTGAAAAGATGCTCTTAAACACTTTAGTTCAATGGTATATCTTTACACCGTGAATTACCCTATATTAAGTTCGTGTATCAGTCAGGTAGCTCTTAATATAGTAAAGGGTAACATTAAAGTCTAATATATTTTCATTGATTTGGTAAGGGGCCATTTACCTTGGAATAGTATAGCTGTACATAGAGAGGTAGGAACAAACCGGCTGAAAGCACTTTAGCCCATGATTGCATGGTCACCTCTCGGCACACTTTTCCTGCGGGATATAAATCTTAAGAACTTTGTCGTACCTAAGCTAGTTAATCGAAGAGGTCTTATCTTAAGTAACAGATATGTTAGAATACTAAATGTAACGACAATTTCGATGTGTACATTTCTGTACAAATGTACACATGGAAACACTCATAATTTTGTGTGTATGCGATCTAGTAGCTTCGAAGAGAATTGTAATTGAATGAGGCTTTCCAATCTTGAGCACTGCGATTTATGGCACCCACGAGAAATGGAAGTTGATGAAGATTTGTATAGGAAAATTCAGAAAATCCAAAACACGGTCCTAACAATGTTTCTGGTACGAAAAAGTTTTCACACAATTATCTAATTAAGTGCAAATCCGTGGAGCTCCCACGGAATAAAATGGAGCAGAAGTGGCCCTGGTAAATATTTTTCGGGTTTTAACCGACGACAGTACGAGTCAAGCTTTGTGAACGAACGTTTTCGTTACTTTTGCTAACATAGCGGCTGGATACATCTTGTAATCCCAACAGAATGATACCCTTTAAACTTTCAATCCCTGCGATTAATTGGCTTAACACTGTAAAGTAAACAAAGAAAAGCCGAGGGGTACCTTTAGAAAGTTCTTACTCGAATCGTTGTAAGCCATTTTCAATGCTCTAAAGTTCAAATCGATGTACAACAAAAATAACTAGATTTCCACGAGTCGAGCAAGATTTATATTAGTTCATAATATCTTCATGATTGTGTCACCGTTGCAAACGTCATGAAGAAGAGACTACACGGTGCATACGCACTGAAGTACCCCACAGCGTTATATATCTATTACAGGACGTTTTTGCAATTTAGGCATGCGCGACGCTTATTGGTTTCATGGTTTCATAGAAGATACTAAAATCTACAGATTAAAAAGTGAGCGGCGATTTAACGATTGATTTCTGTTTATGCGCTATCATTACCACCATACTGTAAAAATCATTATTGTACTTCTTCTTCCTATGTAAAGAAGGATCAAGAAACGAGCTGAGGATTCAAACGCAGGACTGCTCTGACTAGATTGTACATGAGCGTGTTGTGCCCTAAGCGCTTGCACTTGGTTCAATAGCACGGTCAACTCCATATTTCGGGTCTACGTGAGATAACCCCATAACTAATTAATCAGGTAATCAGTTTATGCGCAAGTTATATATGGACATTAAATGTCCGTATCTGATAATAAAATGTTAGAACTAGAATATGTATTAGGTATTTGGTGATATCTAAACAGGCTGCGATTACATACGTGAGGACACGCCGGGGTGATTTTTAAGTTTGCTATGTTGCATCTTCACATCCGAGTGCATCTGACTGCATGTTTGTCCAAATTGCATGACCAGGGGTATAGTTAGTCTCCTGTCTTGTGTATATTTCAGTATCTTAGCCCCAACATGGTAATTTTCGACCCAAATTACTTGCTCACATGTCGTAAGTTTGTTGCAAAAGTGTCTTAACATAAATTGGTCTTTCTCGCGCTTGCGGAATTTCTAATTTAAGCGAGGCGCAGTATTTTCCTCAACGAACTTCATCTCTTTCTCATAAATACAAGTTTAACAAATTATCGTCGGTGGCTTTACACAAGAATGTCAACTGTCGGCATAGAAAAGCTGAGGATATTGTATCACTTAAATAATACTGCCTCTTGAAAGTAACTCTCCTTCGACACTGCCAAAGTCACCATTCAGTATTCTAGGCATGTAGATCGAAAGAACTAAGGTTTCGAAGGCAACTAAGGGAACGAATTTAACTTAAGGGTTTGAAAATTGACAAGAGGCACGCTCAAATGGATTTCATAGGCCTGTATTATCCGATTGCAAATTCCATATTTTAGGGGATGGCCATCGGGAGGCCTTTCGTTCGAATTAATTTAACGGTTTTATAGCGCTTGAAACTAGCTAGAAAATAGCCAGCCTCCAACGAAGGACTGTAGACGCTATAAGCAAGCTTGCAAGCCAAAGCTATGCATCATTTTAGATAATCGCAATCAATCGCACAGATACATGTGAAGGATTTTCGAGAACTTACTTCTTTAATGTATTTTTACTATCGTCTGCAGCATACCTATCAACATTTCAGCAAAATGAACGAAACTAGATAGCTTAATCGGATTGTAATGGCCATTATGCCACCACACCACACCACGTGGAGATCAGCCCGAGAAAGTCAGAGATCAAAGAGTCAGTCAGAAGAGCAAACCAGATAAGAGTGAAAGGTTATACCCAAAAATCGTTAAAGTTATGCCTGAAAAGGTGAATTTGTATACCTACCTCCATACATGAAAAGTATAGTTAAAAAATAATCTTTTGAGCTACTTGCAACGTACTTCGCCGTCTAGAAATTTCAATTAGGCCTCCATAGAATTTGTCAGCACAACCATCACGTCGGCAATACAATACGATAACTAAAAGTTACTTGAAAGTATCTGTTCGACAGTATATCATTGTTTCGTTCATCATTATCGACCACGCTGTTATTCCAATTTCAATTCGACCGCGTCGTCCTCCCTCTCCACACGGAGTCGGTCGTGCGGGTGAGGGACCTCCCTCGTCTGCCCTGAGCGCCGATTCACCACAGCCTGAAGAGTTCGGCGCCAGTCAACAACAACCAACAGATATTTGCCTCCTCATCGCGAACCGGTCTCCTCTTTTTGTGTCTATCTCGGGTTCTGGCGTTCATCGTTAAGCCCTGCGGCTTCGCTGATCGCCGTGCAGATTGAATTCAATAGGTAAATTCAGTTCCTTCGCTCAGTGAGTGCCGGTGTATGGGTGTATATGTGTAGTTGTTAGAGTGCATGCATTCTCAAGACTGAACCCCACCCGTACGATGACATATCAAGCACTCACAAAACTTCCGGTTGGCTTTCTGACGAGGAAAACGCTGTATGACATAGTGATTGCGGGGTGCACAAATGATCGACCCATTGAAGCTTCTCCGTGTCAATTTAAAAGCTAGTGTATCTATTTGCAGCATTTGATCGCAACGAGCGGTGCGGTTCCTAGACACGAACACTGTCGAAGAGCATATTATAGCCATAAGTCAAGCAGAAGATATTCAGGGAGCGTCTCGGGGTCATGGTCAAACAATAACCTCCATTTTTGTCTTACTTCTCTCTGAGCGAGATATATCTCGGGTAGTAAACTCGTTAGAGTTAGTTCTCATATACTAAAATATAACTTGTTGTATATAATAACTTGTTGAGACCGAGTACAGGTTATTGTATTTGTTAGTTCAGGCTAAACGTCAACATCTGACGAGCTGGGTCCATCAGCTGCTGAGCGACAGATTGTCAGTTTCAACGAGAAGACCTTGTGCTGGCATCTAACCGCCACAATCGACTGTACGTTGAGACACGTGGTTGTTCTATGGGGTGGACGCAATTTACTAAATAGAAAGTGCCGAGTCGTACCATACGCCCGGACTGACCCGATGGCCATTATCTAGTGTACAATACCGTTTCAGGGAAGTGATACCGGCTAGATTGCTCGTCAAATAGCAGGGACAGCACCGTGCAGTACTGCTCAGGTTCACCAATTCAGTGGGGCCTGCGTTAAGGCGCTATCGGCCGGTGATACGTCGCTAGTCATGTTTGAGTGAGTGAAAGCTCTGGCGGATGTTGTGTTAAAGCCAAATGAACCAGAAGATGATTCGGCCGCCGTGTAACTTGCTGCTGCATCTATTACCTGGAGACCAGGTGTCGTCGAGCGGGTCTGCAATCAACGACGCCGGCTTCTTCTGAGCTCAATTACGCTCATAGAAAGAAGATCGCGCTACTGACCAGCCTCGTTCAATTAATTCATTGCGGTTGATCTCTAATGGTCATGTAATTGTATTGATGATGGGCAGGTGAAGGTTGAAAACAGCGAAAGGTGTAGAAATATTTACGTTGTCGTATCGAGGATTGATTATGCGTGTATGATTATGTGAGTAGATGAAATGTTGTAATAAATGTAGATTAGTTCAGGTCGCCAGGCGAAAAGTTCACAAGTGGCACGGCATTCATCAGAGATCGCGGTGGAACAGAATATAGCGAGCATTGCTGGTAAGTAAATTTTTTCGGAACTATAATACGTGTAATTAGCTAACTAATAAGGAGTCGTGTGAAATCTACCACCGCCTTAATTACCTGACGGTACTTCCGGATAGTCCGGTGGCATTGTGCAGATGCAAGTATTACATATGAATCTTCTTTATCCACCGAAGCGTTATAAATGATCTTCATCACTTCGTAATTGTTACGTCGTTTCCTATATATTTTACTACCCTGTATTTGAACCGCCTGAGTAGCACTACGACGCAAACGGAAACTGAAGACTTCATGTTCGTGCCCATGGCCGGAAATTAATAAGCGGCCCTAACAGTTTAATTACTGGAGCTGGCTGAATTTACAAATAAAGCGTGATCAAATAACAATAACGATCTATATTTACGTGATTTTTTAATCGTCAAGTATTAATTGAACACTTCTCTTTCTAAGAGTTATGGGAAATGCAATGCTGATCACCTAAGACCCCAAAAAAACGATGTACAATAATACCCATTCCGTAGAGAGGTAACGAACTAGGATGCAAGCAGCTAGAGCTACTCAATGCAATTTTTATAAGCTTGATTACTGTTACTACGAATGTTTGAGTGTCATTCTCAGTTTAAAAAAAATGCCCATTTTGTCAGGTTACTTAGTCGTGTCAAAGACAGCCTCTTGTTTGAGTATGCCGATCAGCGAGTCAGGGAATAAGGCATCTGTATAGAAATAGACGTCTATTTAAAATTCGGCCAAGTGACTCTTAGAATGTTAACGCATTATACCTAGGCACCGAAATGCGGACAGGTCTTACCCAAACGATTAGGTTTTAAAGACAAAAAGTGTATAGGTTGTGATTTCACAGGTCAGCTATAGGGTTAAATGTAACCCATTGAACTTTTTTGAAGAGTTACAGAAGCTTTGGCTCTTGTCACGTTCGACTAAAATAGGCCAAGCCAGTTGACAACGCCTTGCAAATGTTCGACCATATGGGAACCTTGAGCGTTTACCTGCTCTACTTGGCAAAAAAATCTACACTGTTTCCCTAACCTGCTGAGGCAAAACTGGTTTTCTTTAATAGACCACTCACTGTCGTTTATCGTTAATTTTTTATTAAAAAAGATGTATATATATATATATATATATATATATATATATATATATATATATATATATATGCGTATGTATATTTGTGAGCTAGTGATTTTGGATTCTTAAGTTGTAGGCTTTTACATTCTTCGATTCAAAAGCATAGAGTTATGTTTATCGACCGGTACGCTTTGGCGGTCCCTTCCCATCACAACATATTGCATCGTAGAGCCAATTGGCTGCGCGCTCTTTGGTGTCAGACAGCGCCGTTAATGGATTCCTTCCTAACTTGATCCATCCTACCCCGCTTTCGTTCCCTACCTCCGCGTCTCAAAGGAGATATTGAGTTAAAGTGTGCGAAATCAATGCAAAGCCGATAGAAGGTTTTCGTTTTCATTGCCGGTCGTCGACGTTCGACAGAGTCAGACCACCGTCAAACTTTACCGCTTTGGCATTTCCCTGAAGCTTCTCTTCCGATTTGCCAGCGGCCATCGCTGCTGCCACCACCTCGCGTTGGTGGTAGAACAGTAGCACTATTGGTAAATGCCGCTGCGGCTGCTGTTGTTGTTGCTTTCGTCTTCGTCGGAATGTGGAAAGAGGGTGGGCCGGCAGGCTCCCGTACCGTTGATAGGATGGGTGCTCGGACGCGCGTGTTTTTAATCGTACACGTTTATATATTGTACATGAATAAGTGTTTGAACAGGTGATATTTTTTTGGGAGAGTGTCGCTTCGTTCGTTGTCTGTCACAGGGTCTCATAGACAGCTTACGATATTGATTAACAGCGTGCAGAAGCTAGCAGATGCCGTGAAGACGATTAGTCTTTGATGTTGTTGCTAAGTGACCTGTAGACTTTCTGATCGGATCCTGGGCTTGATTTGGCCTTTTGATCGGGTACTAGCTACTAGACCGGTTCGGCCAGAAGCTCTGATTTCGTCTAACGTAGTTAGTCGCCAGAGGAACTAAACCGCTCTCGCTAGAAAGCCTCTCTGCTTCGACGTGTTTGGGTATTTTTGCTGCCTGTCTACGTGCGAGTCTACGAGCCGACAATCGTTGAAAGTGTCATCAGTGAATGTCTGCTTACGCGATATAGTACAAAAGTATCATAGTTCTCAGGGAAACCATTCTCTTCTCTAGGTGATAGCGATAACGACGTAGCGTAACGTGCCATTTGTCTAATCGACGTTCCAAGAAGCGACGCCAACGACCGAGAGCGACGCCAGTAGTAGCTAGAACAAGTACAAACTCTAATACATCTGGCTCGAGAATCCAATAGCGTACGATCACCGGTGTCAGTTCGCCTGCTTTGCTTGTTGATTGTTACCTCTACGATACTATAGTACGAGGCGGAACCTCAACGATAAAAGGAGCATGAAGGAAAAAGTAGACACGCCGAGGAAGACCAGCGCCGTACTAATCACCGTCGTCAAAATGGTCACCGTAGTCCACATCATGAGCGTCATCCTGATCCAGACAACATCTGGCTGACAACAGTAATTCCAGCTACAGCTTCCAGCATAGTAGCTAAACATCTATCTACCATTTCGCTGTTCGTAATCCTGGCACTAGCAGCGACACTCCGATCGCTTCATACTAAAACTTCTGCTAGAACTAGTCGTCAGTCTACACCCTTTTAGCAAAGGAGAAGGAGTGGCTATGCTGTTATTGGTAACAGCCCTTGACAATGTCAGTTGAGTTGGCACGTTGAGCCCGCAGGCGGACAAAGCCGTTCTTGCGTACGGTCTATCTGCTTGCGTCGGCTGCGGCAGTCGCTGGATCGTTGTTTCGACGCGTGACTATGAGCGATCAGTTCGCGCCATTGTCGCAATGTAGCGCATTTGCTAGGATGGTCTACAGGGCAGCTCACGGAGCAAGAGAGCGTCCTAGCTTTGATACTCTGTACTGCGCGACGATTAGTTTTTTTTTTTGGTTTAGAGAGAAACAGTGAAATTTTCAATGATGGTGATTAGTGAGCGACTGTAACCATTTGACTATAATAAAAGTAGTCCATGTCTGTGGTAGTGGCTGGGCGACTGTGAAAAAAGGGACGGAAAAAGGGGTTACCATGTGACCCGTATAGTGTGACGAGTTAATTGTATGTTACTATGAGTGGTGTCATGCTTGCATTGTGTAATATACGACTGAAGTCATGGACAGCTGAATGATGAGTAAAGAATAGCTGTTTTTGGTTGTTGTAAAATAAATAGAAGCGCGCCTGCGTGACCGGTACAAAGTGGTTTGAGGAAACGACCAAGGATAGGATTGTATGTAGCGGAACAAGGATCGGAGAATATGAAACTGTGAAAAAAACATAAGTTTCGCCTTTATTTCGCGAACATAACAATCTGTGTTTATCCGTTTAGCCAACGTGATTTGACGCTTAGTGCGCTCCAAGTAAATTACATAGAATTATCTCCGGTACTTCTCAAGCAATGGTGTTTTTCAAATCAAACCTGTATGTTTGACAGCTCTTCCAAAAGTGAGGCGGATGAGAACGAAAAGTTTTGCAGGATTTCTTTGAGCTTTTTGTCTCAGCTGTCAGTGTAGCTGCTTCGAACGAGGAGGCTGCAAGACCCTGTACATCAGGTGTGCACAGCTGAACTTGGCCGTGTTCAAGTCCTATCATAGGCCTCGTCTTGCTAGCAAGTTTAAACTACTCACGACGACAATGGCGCATCGATGGAAACGAACTGGCGTAAACGTGAGATTTCCTTTTAGTTTGTAATCTGTAGTAGACTAGGAGAACTCTCTTCTCAGTTTAGTTACCAGCAGGTTCCGATACTGGCATTTAGCTATACGATAATCTGTTTTAGGTGACTGATGTGTATTTTGTTTAGGTGCGTAAGTCAGAAAAGATCCTTAATTATCCTCGTACGCTTATTATATGTAACTGGTTAGATATTTGCATTGCCGTTGGGCTTTTTAGCGTACAGCTAGTTCGTAGTGCTAAATGAAACGCGTTTACCTCGACTACCACGTGTGCTTAAAATAAATAAGCTACTTACCGTGCTATCAGGGAGATGGGTGTAGCTTACTGACAGTCACCCTTTGCTACAATATGGATTATACTTGTTATCATAATGGGCAGTGTTTATGGCTTTCTGAGAGTATTTGGCAAAGAGCTGTGGAAAACGTAATACTCTAACTAACTGGCCGGATCCTTTGTATTTATATTGAGACGTGAGCTATTGAGGGAACAGTCAGTTTGCCGCGGTGAGAATTACCACAAATCTATGGGTTATTTAAGTGTGGGATGTATGAATTTCCCGGCTGATATTGGTGACACGTACATCGTTGTATTGTTCGCTTATTGACACTATACAAAATAAACGCTTGTGACTGGACATTAACCATATTTATTGCCATTGAGGATCGCAGAACTCACTGGCAGTGATAGATTGTTGGTGTAGACTTCGTGACGTATTTATGAAGCTCAAGCTGACGAAGCGTTCATAGTCAAGTAGTAGATCCAATCTTGGATTTTACAACAATGGCCCTCAATATCATACAGTTCCTTATCCACTGGAAAACTTGAACAACTTATATTAGCATCAGTGCTCTTCAACCATAGTAAACAACAAATCTATAGAACAAACCAACCACAGTAAAAGCGAATGTATTTTATCACGCTGCCTGTCAAACACCCCAACAACTGGTACTTGAAAATGGCCGGCTGACACGGATTCTCTATCTGATAGCAGTCCATAGTGATTAGGAATTTGTTTAAAAACAGGACCGTTCATATAACACTTTAAAACTATTGAATTGTATGATGGTCGTCTCCTGTGAAGGGCTCCATTTTCTATAGTTGTTTGAAAAAAAAAAGCATCGTTACACCTGTCACAAGGATTAATCTGCGCCATTGATCGAAGTACTGTCGATCGAAGACAGATTGGTGGATTTTTTGGTTAAATATGAGCGTCATTTTAGCAGCCGTATTCGCTTGGCATACTTCATATTAGCCACAAACGAGAATATCTTCCGTCTGCCATCTTTAAGCGGCTATTCTCCTTGGGAGCGTCTACGTGTAACTGTTTTTATACGTGTGTTAGTTGATCTATTTGATATTACTTCCTAGGCCATTTTATTCCACATAGAAGTAAAATTCCATACGTCAAATCTTGCCGCTGTGACTGATTTTCACACACCTAAGTAGGCTAGATAAACTTTTGTAGACCTGCATATCCGTTTAATCGAAACGAAAGATTATCAGACAATTTATAGAGTAAAGTGAAGTTTTGATATACACTGCATGAAGCCAGAGCAACACATTTGTTGTGAAAAAAATCTGGATGGAACATTTAAGTTAATTTAAAGTTGCTTTATAGGTAAGTATTACACTCAAGCGTGCGCATGCTATAATATGACGAAATACATAAATTAATGTAAAAACGGAAATAACTAGTTATGTTCTTAAAGAACAATATGCGTATAGCTTTGGCTTGTACCACCGATGCTGATCTGAAGAATACAATCATCTTATAGGGAAGATGTCTGCGAAATATGCATATCATCCTGCAGCTTCATTGGTAGCCAGAGAGTCGATTCAGGTATAAGTGTATATCTGTTGTATTCGTTATATTTTAGCAAAAAAATGTATAATTCATGTAAGTAAGAAAAGCCATATTAACATTTTGTGCTTTATATGGCTAATATGGAGCATCAATTTATTAACAAGCTAGTCAGGTATATATGCAGTAATATAGTGATACTTTCATATATATTCCGCTGGAGGCCAATATATTTTACTTTTTATGAGAACGTAATGACGCTAAAAGGTTTTTTCGATGTAGACCTTTCCAAACAAAGACGACACAGTTGTCAGTGGGCGTAGCTTGCGCATAGGTTCAATGCCATCCCAGGGTCGACGGCAAATTTGTGCACCTGTGTCTATAAGTTATTCTAAAACGGACCGAAGCGTAGTGCATTTATTGGGTAAACATTTTGCTTGGCCTTGTACACCGCAAGCTTCGCCTCTAGAGGTCCTTTGGACATTACCATGGGAATTTAAGATGCCTACGCCAGACGCACAATTTATCACCGCGTATTCATTCCTCAGGCGTTATTGATATGTTTCTTGCTGTGAGGATACTTTTTTTCGTTCGTAAGATTTTGCTTTTTGCTTTGCTACCCAAAACCAGTCAATGACGCCGGCCTCGCTACCGCCGCTACCATCAACGAGACCACCCATATCACCTTATTGATTATCTAAGAACACTCGTTTAGCGCATGCTCGGTGCTTATTAAATTTGACATCAAATGTCGTAATAGTATCAGAGCCAAGCTTGCCATATAGCGTCGTCGTAGAATGATATGGGTCGCGTTTTATCTAAAGACTCCTTAGCTTGACGTATGGCAACACTGTTATAGACTATCCCGAGTGGTTATGTCCCCATAGTCAAGTTTGGAGCCCTTAATTAATATAATGTTTTTTCTTTGAACTACTTAGTCTCGATGACAGAAGCATATTTAATAGCGCATAGGTGAGCTTGATCCTAACGAGTCCTACGTTTTTTTTTTTTTTATAGATGGCCTATACGGACGATCTTTTAGAGCGAACTCTCGAGGAGTTGGAGCGACTTTCAACTGCGCCATCACCTCGCGCGCTTCTTGAGGATGAAGAGTTCGCAAATCGTAACCTGAACGCGTCAGATCGCCTTGTACAAGGCCGTTCACCAGGGAGCTATCGAGGCGTCCCATCGCATCCTCATGCAACCACATCATCACATTTGTACAAGGTAAAGGGCCGGACAAAGCACGAAAATACTTATGTAAAATTGACGAAACTAGTTCTAGCTGAAAACGCTCACTTCTGTCTAAAGCTATCGCGGGTACTTCTGCCTTATCGAACCTAAAATCCCATTGGAAATACATAAATTTGCGTACACAAATAATAATATGTATTAGCTTAATACACTGTTACAGCCCGTGCCGCCGATTCCAGTGGAAGATCATATGTCACTTTATTCTAATGGACGAATTTACCGTCACCCTGGGTCGGTTATCCGAGCCACACCGCCCCCTCCGCCAGCGCCATCTCAACCCGACTACGATGCAAGGGTACGAAAATAGACTTGTTCACTGCCTCAAAACAAGAAAACAAGCTCGCTAACCGAGCAGAGAGAACCCAAACTTGAACCGCTTTTGCTCCCTTCACCATACTAATAATAATAATAATGGGTTCAAGATTTACATAGTTATTTGCAAATGTCGCATCGACTCAAAAACGGCTTCTACACCTCAAATCGGGATACCAAATTCTGTGGTGGTTACTAAGAAGTGATTTGCTACTGGAGATGTCTAATACCCTGAGTTTTACCTTACAGAGCTTTTATTGACTTTGGGACCATATGAATTATAAACTTTTTAGCTTTCATTGTAATTTTACTCTTCAATTAGAGTGATACAAGCAGTATTTACGAGCCGCTCCGACCGCGTGCACCCAGCCAGCAAAGCACCTACTCTGGTTCGCATGGGCTGCCAGGAATGCTAGGTTACGGATTTGGAGGTTACTCTGGAAGCAGCGCAAGCTCTCAGTATTCGAGCCAGTCAACATTACGGGGGTCTGCCTTCAGCGACTACTTTGGTAAGCTCCTGATAGAGGAATATTTGCCCTCAAAAAATCGTAGATTATGGTCTCTCGTTGCGTTGCTTATTATAATAAAATCGTTTGTAGTAACTTCTATAATAGCTGGAATTCTAATAAAATCCGTTATATTCCATTCTTAGTTTTTTCTTTACCAAAAGACAGGACTGAATGTTCGCGTCAACATCAATCATCAACCTTGTTTCCTGTCTTATGAATACGGTACTTGGTCAGATTAGTACTTAGCGTTGACATCTTTTTGATAGCTTTTACAAGTATGCTTATGGGCCTTGTAGAGGAAGACTGCGGTAGTGTGGCCGAAGAGCCTTTTGCCATCGGATCGTGCGTGGAATGTCAACATGAGGTCCTTAATGACGGCTCGGGATGCAGTGCCATGGATAAGGTACGTACTGGTTTAAAGCTAGGCGGTATTAGCAGTCTGGAAGTATTTGCAATCTGTAGCCTGAAATAAGTGATATTCGTGCAGTTATAGCTAGCGACATTCTTGGAAACAGCAAATATAGTATAGGTACACTCTGGTTTAGACATACGAAAAACCATCCCGAGTGCCCATTAAACAAACGGTTAGAGTTACACAGTGGTGAACCCTAGTGTTTGAACGACTGTCATCTTAGTTACTTGAAGTTATCACACTGAATTTACGGCTGGTCCGCAAAAATAAGTTCAGTGTTCGTTTATCGAAAATGCCGTTTGGTTCTCATATGGAACTCATAGGAACCGTTCGGCTATTGCAGGATACGTCGCCCCTCAGAAACAGTAGAGAATATGAACGATTCATAATCACCGAAATACAACTTGTACCTTACGGAAGAAAGAATTATCTATGCAAATTAAATTTGGTCCGAAATAAAGCTCGCGCGAGACGCCGGGCAACAAGTACTTTTTCTTTCAAAAGTGTCATTAACTTTGACACCGATGTCTTACTATCAAAGTAAGCATAAGTTTATTAACCAATAGACAATTTCTATGTTCGGCGAGAAGGTATATAAATTAATATTACTAATGCATATATGTCCCGCTTATATGTCTTTAATTATCATCTTACATCGATATCCATTTAATTCGTGCCAGGTTTATCATATCAGCTGTTTCAAGTGCCATGTATGCAAAAGGGAACTGCAGGGAAAAGCATTCTTTGCCGTGCAGGGACAACCCTACTGCGAAGAAGATTATTTGGTAAGCACCAACCTTCTGCTAAACAAATACCGACAATATTGGCTCCGTTGGTGGGAATTTGAGTGGCTTAGCGACCCATAAATGACGTCTCCTAAATACTAAAAGGTATCGATAATGATAACGTGTATGAGAATTTGAAGCAACGTCCACTTTTTTAAGATCAATAAAGGAACACGGTGAATATCTCACAAATAGTAAATGAGTGTAACGTATCACTCCTTCACACTTCGTCTCACTGAGTACATCTTCTTTTTTTAATAATTTAATCGAGGCTATACAATCCCACATCGCTATGATCACGCTTAAGCGGTCCATATCGATATGTAAGTGATTTATTCACGTTACATGATTGAAGAGTACGTAGTCTAGCGCTTAAGTGCATTTTATGTATTATAATTTGCCGAAAAAGTCACAATTATTTCAGTTACTAACCAGAATGTTCGTTTTTTTTTTTTTTTTTTTTAATTTATCCGGTGTAGGACACTTTAGAGAAATGTACAGCCTGCCAGAAGCCTATTTTAGAGCGCATTTTACGAGCCACTGGTAGGCCGTTTCACCCTGCATGCTTTTCGTGCCTCGTCTGTGGCAGGGGGCTTGACGGAGTCCCGTTTACGGTTGATGCCGCGAACAATATCTACTGCATTCCAGACTTCCACAAAAAGTTCGCGCCCAGGTCAGTTGTATTGTCCTATTCTATGCTGTAGTATCACGTTTGTCCATTGTAACTCTCATTGACTTATCTACAAGTACTAATTACACTGCGGAAATCAGTGCTCTTAAGAATGCTCGGTGGATTATAGGTGAAATGTGCTTTTGCCCTCTTTACTCATATCATTGATTAATTTTATTTCGCGCTAGGCGTCATTAACGGTCCAAAAAAATGGTAATTCAGTTTCACTTATTGTGCCTGCGTCATTTAACGTATATATCTATATATATATAGGTTTCCTGTAGCATTAATGAGGTCTATTTCTCTCATATCCGATTCCCGCATTTTTCACCCCCGATTCTAGGTGCTGCGTTTGTAAGGAGCCTATCATGCCACAGGGCAAAGGAGAAACCGTACGCATTGTTGCTCTCGACAGATCATTTCATGTCGCCTGCTACCGCTGCGAAGACTGCGGACTACTTCTCGGGCAAGATCATCCCTGTTACCCTCTCGATGGTCATGTTCTGTGCCGTGATTGCAATGCCAATCGCGTCCAGGCCCTGACCGCGAATCCCACAAGTCCCTCTACAACAAGCATTTCTTCCATGTCCACCACAGCAGCTGGCAGCAGGGGACGGCCATCCAGTCATCAACACTACCAGCAGCCACAGCAAAAATCATCACAGAATCAGCAGCCACAGCAAAGGTC